CAGTCCATCCAATTCCCACCCAAGTCATGAGTGTACCACCACCAGCTACTCTCTGAGTACTGCTTTTGATCTAGTCTTTTGTCTGCCCAATAATACTTAAAACCATCAGTTCTGTCAAGATTTCACCTTTTCTCATCCGAGAAAATTACTTTTTGCCATCCTTCCCCTCGTTCAAAGTTGTTTCTGACAAGCTGTAATCAAAGTTTAAATCAAATTTTGACCATACAAATAAATATGGGTCAGTACAAAATCCCTTTTTTAATAATCCAGCTAGAGACAGATGGTTAACAACTTAAAAACCGACGAAATGACATTAAAAAATACATACAATATACAATTGACACCGACCTTTCCTTGGAGGATCCAACATCAATGACAGCATTAAAATTCTTCACAATATCATTCAGGTATAGATCAGTTGTATTTACACACATCTGCAGACCTCTGGTGGAAAACTAGGAGAGCATCGTAATTAACATATCTACATGAATAACAAAGTTTCAAGGATAAAATTTTTTGATTAAATCAAATTTCTGGTATGCAGATGTGTATAAATACAACTGATTTGTACCTGAATGATATTGTGAAGAATTTTAATGCTGTGTTGTTGACGTCGGATCTTCCAAGGAAAGGTCAGCATCAATTGTATATTGTATGTATTTTAATGTCATTTTGTCAGTTTTTAAGTTGTTAACCATCTGTCTCTAGCTGGATTATTAAAAAAAAGATTATTTTGTACTGACCTAAATTTATTTGTATGGTCAAAACTTGATTTAATCAAAGCAATTTATTCATGTAATCAAAGTTATTTGTGTTTCTCCTTGAGCTGGTTACCTGTTTTCATTCTGATGAAAAAAACATTGTCTATTGATCTCAAAACATTGTGTACTGTTGATTTACTGAAGTTCAGCTTCAATTCATTTTTGGTTTTTTTTAACAGATGTTTCCTTGCAATGCAAGTCGAACAATTGCATGTTGTTCTCTACGTGGTGTTGAACTCTTGTGCCCACTGTTTCATTTTTCCTGTTCGTTGCTCCTTATTATTGAGATATTTTTGAGATTGATGAATGAGATCTTCCCAAATTTTTAGCAATCCAAGTTACTTTTCTCCCTTTCTGGTGAAATACATCAATTTTGTCTTCTCATGTACAGTTAGGTCCTTCCCAAGTCCCATTTTTAATAGTAAGGTACTATGCAATTTACTAAATCTTTCTTTTCACTTGTTGATTGTATTTTTATGCAATTTCATGGATTTCAATCATTACTTTGTAATTAATTCCAATCAGTGCATGTTCTATTAATGTTGGACATCTTAATTTTGATAATATCTAACTCTTTTATTAGTTTAAAAACAAAATTCACCCAAACAGGGCTCACCATTTTTAATTCTGTGTTTAAGACAATACAATCCTGGTGACCAACCTTCCTTTCTAGGCTACTAGCCGCCAAAATGCTAAAAAGTCCTTTTAAAAAGCACACATTTTCCAATTAAAAGATAAAAATTTTTCTAATAGGAATTGGTGACATACGAACGTCTTCTTGAAACCATCTCTAACCTTCTTGGGGTGTTTTAGCTTTATATCCACAAAGTAGTAAACGCTGGAAAATGTCCAAAATCTTTCTTGTTTCCTTTTTTGACTAGAATGTATTTATTTTGAATATAATAAAATATTGTTAAATTTTTGTAGTCCTACATTTCTAGTAATTAATTTTTTGGTCACCAGTAAAGTTTGTCTTATAGTAGGTCAAGGCTATGTTCCTGAAATCTAAATTATAACTAGAGCTGAAAATTTTCGCTTTTGGCGAATTTCTCAGCTATATTTGCTCGGAATGAGCATCTTTCAATTAGTACTAATTTAAAAATCCGGTCTCAATATCACTAAGTTTTTTTTGGCGAAAATTGGCGATTTTCACCCAAACTGGTGAATTTGGTGATAGGTGGCAAAATCGTTAGTTTTCCATGTGCTTCATGCAAAAATGTCTAGAAAACAGTCAATTGAGAATTGAATTGAGAATTGATTCCGTGATTAAGGAATTAGGTGGCAATATATTTTGCCGTACCAAAAAAGCAATTCTCTGTGTTAAATGCTCTACACATGTCAACTACGAACGTGATACAATTAAGAAATGACTTTCGGAACATCTCAACAGTGCAAAACACAAGAAACATAACACACTACAGTCACAAACATTGTTGTTTGAAAATGGAAGCAATTTTGATAAAGAAATGGTTGAAGCATTCACCAGTGCAGATATTCCACTTGAAAAATTAAATAACGAAAAACTGAGATTTTTTCTCGAGAAATATATTAAGAAGCCGATCAAAAGTGTTCCAGGTATTTTTTTTTATTGTAATTAGTTTTTTTTAATGAAACATTTATTTTATTGAAATTGATGCTGCTGTTTGCAATTGTGCTCATAATTTAGCTGAAATATGATTTTATTCGAAATCTCATTGAGTTATTTATTTTTTTAGCACTGCAGGCACATCAAAAAACTATCTTCAACTCAATAACAGAAAAAATTAAGGACGAAATTAATGGACATGATGTCTATTTCATTGTTGATGAAACTAGTGACAAAGTGCAACGTAAAGTGGTCAATGTGCTTGTCGGAAAATTGAATGGTGAAAAAGCAAAATCAATGTTAATTGATGTGACATTTCATTCAACAGTTGACAACATTATAATACAAGAATGTATATTCAACATGTCTAGAAAATTGTGGCCAAATGATTTAAAATATTCAAAACTGAAGTTAATAGTGACAGATCGAGCAAAATACATGATGAAGGCAGTAAGTGAGATTAAGAAAAATTCACTGATTTTTCAAAATGTACATCACGTCACATGTCTTGCTCATGCCTTACATAACATTGCATTTAGAATTCAGAATGAGTACAAATTAACAAATTCACTTATATTAGAAATGAAGAAGTTTTTGTGAAGTCAAGAGAAAGTCAAAATGATTTTAAGAATGCAACTGGAGTTAGTAATCTTCCTCCAGAATCAATTATCACTCGCTGGGGGTCTTGGTTAAATGCTGCAAAATACTATGTCGATAATTTTGATACTGTTGAGCGCTTCATTTTGAACTATAAACAAAAATCTCATTCAAATGCTAGAAATGTTTTGGTGAAACTATTGCAAGAGAAAAAAGTTAACCTCAAGAAAGAATTATTTGATCTCCGTAATCTTGTCAAGCTATCAAATATTATATCATCACTGGAAGAACAAGGACTCCGTGTAGCTGGACAAGCCAAATTAATTGAAAATGCAAAAGAAATTGTTTATGGTTATCCTATATTTTCTCAAAAATTGGAAAAAGTTTTGTCAAGTAATCCTAATCTTATCAAATTTATGTCTTTTAATATGAATTTAAGTGATAAAGTTAATAGTGAATAGGCTCCTTTAGTTGCAGTCGACATCGAACGTTCGTTCTCATTGTATTCATCGATATTGAGCGATAGACGTCATAGTTTAAGCAAGGATCATTTGAAATATCTAAGTGTAATTCGTTTTTGAAATAAATAACTGGCAATTTTTTTGGGTGAATTTAAGGCAAAAAATTGGCGATTTTAGCCTAAAATCTGGTGAAAACTTACGGCTCTAATTATAACTACAAAGCAGTTTATATGCTTTTTATTGAATATAGAGAATCACAAAAGTTATATCTTAGGGTGCATCCATACATTCAGTATTTATCAAAGTGTTTGTCAGTCAGTGAGCACATACACATTCCATTATTTGCTGAGCATTGGTTTGTTATGCAAACAATGAGTGTTTATCCAAAATCTAAAAAATGGACAATTCTCAAACAATTTGTGTTGCTTTTATAGGTATGAATACTTCGTATCTGTTAATGTAAAACAAGCCTAAAAGAAGATAGTGGATGGTCTCACTTCATCACAGCAGAAAAATGTAAACATAAAAATTTTTTTAAAAACAACACAATAAAACTGTTGCAAAAATGGCCAGAAAAAAACTATATAGAAAAAAGTAAAATAAATATTTAAACTATAAACCAAATAAAAAAATAAGCTAAATTTAAAAACAAAAGATGACTAGATCTCATTTATAAAAAACTAAAATAGCAATACTGATGACTAGAAAAAAAAAAAAAAATACATGAATGAAAACACAAATGTGTGGAGGCAAATACTCATGTCATTTGATTCAGAAAAATTTACTAACAAGGACCAAGAAATGGCAAATACCAAACATTCATTGTGAGTAGACCATCCACACTACTTGGTACTCGCCAAATGTTTACTGGAATTTGGCAAATAGCAAATGTGCAGACACACCCTTATACTTTAATTTCTCTCAGTTTCATATATTCTTCATTAAAAAAGAGAGATTGTCTTTGAAGAATAATTTTTAAAATATTCATTACAGAATATTTCAAGGATAAATACTGACAATAAATTCTATGATGAAAAACTAAACATGCTATAGTTCTTACATAATGTGGTTGATAAGGTCTGAAATTTGGTCTGCATTATAAGCAAGCTTGTGTTGTATTGTAACTTATTATGTTGTAATACACAAGACACCCTTATTTTGTATGTTTTGAATGCTAGAAAAAAATGTCTAACAAACTTAAGACATGAAACTAAAGGTCATTTGATCATGTTATAAGCAATTTTTTGTTGTATAATAAGCCATATTATATTATGGTAGTTACATTTTTCTTTTTCAATGATGCATACAATATTTGCATGTTTCGTAAATTGATACTTTAGTGCAATGAAATTAACTTAACACACTAATTTTTTATAACTATTATGAAAAATATCAATGTTTAATTTTATAATTTTATTAAATTATATGTTTCATAAATTCAATATATGATGTAAATAAATCATTTTCCCTCAAACTCTTAAAAATACATTTCATTAAAAAATTTTAAACTATAGAACTATTTTTCATAAATTGGAATTTATATCTTATTTTAAAAAATATGCAATTTATAAAATCTTATTTTGATAAGAACATTACTCTTTATATCCATATGAATCCAAAACTTCTTCGTTAGAAGTATGTCCAAATGAAGTTGTCTCTCTCAATTTATCTGCAACTTTCAAAAATTCTTCTCTCAATTGGCTTTTATCATCCTTGAAGAATCCTACAACAAAATTTAAAATTTAGGTTTCAATCAGAAAGAAAGACAGGTATATCCACAATATAAAAACAGTACACTTTATTTATATTATAAAAACTGATTGCTTTTGTTATTTAATCAAATGACTAAGATTGTTTCTCTGCAGTCTCTAATTTTAAATATCTATTAAAGTAATTTGAGAAATTTTAACAAAGTTATAACTTATAATAAATATCAGCAATTATTTATTATGACATCATCACAATGCTGAGCTGCAAGGTTTAATCATATTTTTAATTTATTTAATTTAAAATATATGCTCTCCATCTCAAATTAGTAGTGGCTTGCCTCTACATCATACTTTTCCTTTAACAATTGAGTCATGCCAGTCATATCTATCACCTTTCGGGAAAATGTTTGAATTGAAACAACATGACTTCCAGTTTGCATTTTGCATCAAAAGTTCATTATAGTTAATCAGAGCCTTCTGCCCCTAAGCTTTCCATATCTGGTCTTGACTTTCATCTATATAACTCTGTTCTTGAGATTAAGGACAGACAGACAATAGTGGGAATTTATAGGTCTACAATTTTTTTCAAATTGCAGACCAATAAAATCATTATCATGATGATAATAATAAACATATAAAATATTTACTATCATCATCATCCATCCCTTTCTTCAGACAGCAGGATTGGATTTTTATATGCTAGACCAGGGGTGGACAACAGTTTTTGCCTCCGGGCCAAATTGGAAAGAAAACTTTTATCACAGGCCGAACCTGATGCTACCGTAAGAAGATTTTGAGATGGTGCGAGATCTCATTGTGGTGTCACCTCATAGAGACTAAATTGTACATAGAGATTACAGAAACATTTTTCACTTTATCATGCTTTATCAACATTCTATGCTGTACTTAAGACATTTGTAATGCAAAGTTAACTCTAGATGCACAGTGAATTGTTGACCTTTTGTTTTCTTTAGGCATCAAAATTTTTCATTGAGCTATTCGTACTTGAGTAGCTAATATTGAAAGATTGATCGCGGGCCACAAATTCATTTGACGGGCCGGATCTGGCCCGCAGGCTGTATGTTGGCCATGCCTGTGCTAGACCTTCAATATATCAATTTTGAGCTATTTCTTCATTTCACTGTAAATCCTGTAAGTCTTTCATATGTGCCAATTCCCAGGTTTTCTTTGGTCTACCTCTACTTCTCTTAGTTCCTAAGTTCAATTTATCCATCCATTCCTCTCCTAATCACACACTTAAACCACTTACGTCTATTTTCCATAAGCTTCTCTCTAATGTCCCTTACTCCTAAACTAATCCTTTATATGATCATTCCTAAACCTATCAGCTAAGATAACCCCATTCAAATCTGAACATCCTATTTCTGTTACCTGCATCTTTATACCTAATATTTCTTCATTTTTCCAACATTCAGATCCACACAATGTAAACTTTCCTTTTAATATACTTGATATTCTTATCACAAAGCACTCCACTTGCATTGTGCCACCTATATCTACTTTGTTTGCTATAACTATCTAATTCTACTCTAACCTTGCTTTCATTTATTTCAAACATTGCTTCTATATATTATATTTAAATTTCTCTACTCTTTCTCTACCTCTAATAACTAACCTGTACTCTTTCATTGCCTAAAATCAGTGTATGAAGTCCATATTATCTCTGCTAATTTTTAGTCCTACACTCTCTAACCTATCTGTAACATTTTCTATTTTCTCTATGATTCTTCCCTATCTTCACTAACTAGAACTATATCATACTAACTTTAACTCCATTGAAAATGGGGTACAATCAAAGACATCAGCATCCTCAAAATTTAAATAAAAATTGAACACTTTCCCATGGGAAGGATTTCTTATATTGCCTACCTGACTCAGATGATTCATTAGATCAAAGCCAGATCAGCTAACATCAATGAACCCAAATCTACAAAAGGCAAATACAAACAAACAAGGAGAAAAATCTTAGTATCAAACTCTGATGAAAAAGGAATACTTAGTGGGTCACATTTGGATAGTGATGCAACAACCAGAGAATCCTTGAAAGAAAAACATCAGGACAGAAAAAAGTAGACCTGAACTTCCAGGAACTAGATGAGTCTCATCAATGCTGATGGTAGGAGACAACCCCTCTCAAAGCAACTTAAAACAGATTATCATCTTCAAATAACAGTTATTTGTATATCACACACTACATAAATCAGTCAAAAATTGCATTAAAAAATTGAGTTATATAAAAGTATAAATGTGGGAAAGTATGATTTCTCCCCTAGATAGTCATCTTTGTTGTTTTGCTAATTAATTGTTTCTGACGTGTGTATTCATGAATTTAGAAAAGCTTATAAGATTTCTAGGGATTTTATATGCCATGTATTTAAGAAGAAAGGAATAGGAGAGGAATATGTAAATGATGATAGAATATGTACAAGAGGACAGATTCAAGACAATGAATGAATATAAAGGAAGTTATGGGTAGAAGTAGTTATCCAAGGTTTAGCATAGGTCTATATCTTTTTATCTTAGTATTAAGTGAATTATTAGAGCATATAGTTGTGGGTTTCCAACCATCTTTTATGACTTTTTGTCTCCTATGGCCTGAACGGTGACCAGATGGACATCTTTTAAATGATGTGTCTTGGTGAAAGGTGTCATATCTAATAGGTACAGACAGAAAGTGACTTCTCAGTCTGGAATTACAATCAAATCATATACAACTGAAAACTATTATAAGAATTGACAAAAGTATAACTTGAATCGTGCAATTAACATTGTACTCAATTATACAATTAAGAATATATTTTGAAACAGGTGTTGTATTTTAGATACAGAGCTTAAACAGAAAATTTTTGCAATTCACAAAAACATATCTATTAAAAATTGTTATGAATATAGATTATAGTTTTATATAGGAAAATTTGTTATATAGAAATATAAGTAATTTTAAGATTATCAGCACAAAACCTTTCTCACTAATTTCTAGCCTTATTAATTGTGCTGATAATCTTAGAAATAGTTCTAGCTTCATATGCATAATAAGTAATTTTATATTTGTAACAGAAATTACTAACTGTTTTAAAATATACAGTTACAGTTTTGTACTATAAAACGAAAATAGAAAGGAACATTGTTGTTATACTGTGCTAATGTACTATTAAGTCACAAAAATGGTTTTAAATTTTATTTTTATGACAACTAAAAAGTATTACATCAAAATTAATGTTAAACTCTTCAATACAATCTTATAAAATTAAATATTCATTTGTTTATTAAATGAATTTATTAAAACAAACAATTTTCACAAAATTATTCTAATCTTATCATTTTTAATATTGAAATTCAATAAACTTCTATACTTCTATAAAAGTTAACAATTACTTACAAAATTCTAGCAATCTTAAAATTCTTAATAAAAAAAACATACCAATTATTACTACTTCAATCCTACTTAATAACTTCTTAGCATCAGAAAGTGTCTTAATCTCTACAGAACTTGGTCCAACCTGAGATTTCATGTACTTTACAATGGTATCTGAAATAATATTAATTATAAAATATATTTATCAGTAAAAAATTACTAATGTTCTATGAATTAGCAATTTCTGAAATAATTAGGAGTTTCAATTCTAATTAAGATTTTATGAATTTTATATTTATATCAGGTCAGTCCATAAGTTCCTGAGTATTTAATGACCTTGAGAAAAATCTTGTTTTGCTGTTAAAAATTCCAGGCTAATGTGATACTTTTTACACTGAAGTGTTAAATTGGATCTCATTCATATAGTAACAGATGAATATAAGAGACATGTTTTATACTTTTTATTTTTAAGTGATAAGAATGCTACAAATGCAGCCAAAAAATTAAATACTGTTCATAATCAAACTGTAATTAGTGTAAGGACTGTGTGCAGAAGTGGTTTGAAAGATTTAGAAATAATGATTTTAGTGTGGAGGATAAGGCTCGTACTGGAAGACCCATTGACTTTGATGATGATGCTCTCTCTGAACTAGGTGAAGCAGAACCATCTTTAACAGTTGATGAAATTGCAGAACGTTTAAATTCATCCCATGGAACTGTTCATAAACATCTACAACAAATCAGAAAAGTTTCAAAGCTAGGAAAATGGATACCACATGAACTGTCAATAGCTAACCGACAACAACGTGTAAACATTTGCACGTCTCTTTTATCCCACATTACTTTAGAACCTTTTCTTGATCGGCTGGTTACTGGAGACGAAAAATGGATCCCCTATAATAATGTGACAAGAAAAAGACAATGGACAGATCGCGACAAGTAGCCAAAACTGGCTGCAAAAGACGGGTTGCATCCAAAAAAAATTCTTTTGTCTGTTTGGTGGGATATGTCAAGTGTAATTCACTTTGAGCTGTTAGAACCTAATCAAACAATTACAGCTCAAATGTATTGTGATCAATTAGAGCGTTTAAATGAAAAAAAATAGACCGTCATTAGTGAACAGAAATCAGGTTCTCTTGCAACATGACAATGCCAGACAACACGCTGCAAAAATAACTGTAGAGAAACCTTCAACTGGGAAATTTTACCTCATCCACCATATTTGCCAGATATTGCTCCCAGTGATTATCATCTTTTTTGGAGTTTGCAGAATTTTTTAAAAGGGAAAAGTTTTGAGGATGAGAACAATGTAAGAAAGGCTATTTCTGAATATTTTGATTCAAAACCGAAATCATTTTACGAAGATGAGATTAAAAAGCTACCATCAAGATGGCAAGAAATTGTACAAAATAATGGTGAATACATTATAGATTGAAATAAGATTTAATTAAAATTTTTTGTTGCTTTTTTTGTAGATAAAAATACGCACGAACTTATGGACTGACCTGACAATATGATCTGAAATTAACAAAAACTTTATATTCTATAAAAATTTAAATTTTGAATCTTAATTGTCATTAAAGAGCAATGAATTTTATTCAAAGAATTATAGTAATCCCCAGATTGTTATAAAAAGTACAATTTAGTAACAGCTATACCACATATTTATAATTAATACAAAATTCTAGGATGAATTACAATTCATCCTAGAATTGATTCACAACTGACTGTTCAAGTTTTTGTCAGTTACACACAATTTCAATAATTTTGATACTACAGAGTTAATATTTTTATCCCTATGTAGCTTCCTTTAAGAATTTTTTATAATAAAGACTTTATATATCATATATGGTAAGCATAAGATTAGCTAATGAAAAAATTTAAAACTTTACTTTTTTCTATTTGGTAATTTACCTATCTTGGCAATAATTTTTTTCCCACAAAGCCATATTTGGAAAAATAAATTTCAAATGGCATCAAAATTAAAACTACTATACATTAAATTATAATTCAAAAAAGACTGAATTGATCATTAGATATCTAATGTTATAAGTTATACATCAATGGTTACCTTTTCCATCTTAAAATTCTTTCTCTGCTCTAGATTGAAAATTTATAAATATATCTTTGATATAATATGATCAACATTAGCAAAACACATTTTAAAACCCACACAATACAAAAAATTTATTTTTGTTTCCCTAATCAAAAAACCATTCTAGAGATCAATAATTCCCAATGTCATTAGTCATGTCACATTTGATCTTTTAACAACCAGTGCACAGAACATACACAATTATCAGTAGAATTTAAATTTTAAAAAAATCTATTACAGTTATTAATGACAATTTTATTTAACTTTCAACTATGATAACTTGACATTTCTCAAGCTATGCTCTTCAGATGTAAAACTATATTCACTGGATAACTGATTTAAAAATAGGACATTATATTCTAAACTACCTCAATTTATATTCAATGTTTTATTTTATATATATAATAGGGTGGCTTTAAGGCACATTGATTTTTTTTTGCAACAAAGTATGAGTACATACACATATACAAGCACACACAAATGAAAAAGAAAATCAGCACACCTTAAAGTTAATGTGCAATATTAATCAAAGTTATGCATTTGGAATGATAGTAAAAAAAAATCATTACAGCATCATAGCACATGGATACATCATTAAAGAACAGTTACTAATATGCAGCATTTGTGATGAAAGTAGTAAAGCAACTCAACACTGCTAAGTTTGCACTAATTGCCAGACTAGTTTGCCACTTTGATTTGTAACATTTGTGATGAAAATGTTCATCAATGATTGTCCTTATGATGTAATGAACTTTTTGTTTTTTACTATCATTCCATGTGCAGAACTTGATTAATATTGCATACCAATTTTAAGGTGCATCAATTTTTTTGCTAAAAAGAGTTATGTATATAATATATTATTGACAATGTTGACATCCAGGAGATTGCATGTTATTGAGGAAATGGAAAAATTCCTTCTAGTCTGGATAAATAAGAAGTTGATTGGCTAGTGATATTGCCTGAGAATTATTTGTGAGAAAACTAAGCAAGCTATGAGGATTATTTATTTTTCAACCTCCACTAATACATGAAAAAAAATTGGAAGCATGTGAGACAGGAACAGGGTGCACACCTAGTGAGTAGTATATTCCCTCACCACTTAGCGTTGTGCCAAGCTATTTTAGACATTTGCTACTCTGCAGTAAACACGTAAACATAATGCCACCAATCCAGTCTCCCACCAACTGTAAAGTATGAGCAGTAATTACATTTCTACAGGCCAAAGAGCTGAATGGAGGTGAAATTCATTGAAGGATGTGTAATGTGTATGGTGAGAACTTCATGAGCTATGGATATGAGCTTGAATGGTGCAGGAAATTCAAACAAGGATGTGAAAACATTCATGATGAGGACGGTCAAGGGAGGAAGTGTGTAATGACTGATGATTTGGTGGACAAAGTGGATCAATTGGTGCAAGAAAGGTGTTGTTTCAAGATTTTTGAGCTCAGTGAGGAATTTCAAATTTCAAGGCCCATGCTGTATACCACTGACTGACAGTGTTAAAGGTTGGCTGAATGGCCCACAGCAATGTTCTTCAACATGGGTATACAAAAGCTGGTGTCATAATATGATGTCTGTCTGAATCAACAAGGCAATTATGTGGAAAAATAGGTGGACTGTAACTACCTTCTACAAATAAAGTGGTTTTGTTTTTCATTCTTATTTTTTTTTATTCTGGGTCGGTGGAGGTTGAAAAAAAAAAACTCTCGTACATAGTGACCTCAAGAAATGGGACATCACTACTACTCACTAAGGCACAATTTTCATTTCATTATACAGTATTTATATATTTATTGTTTTTGCATTTAAATTTATTATTTAGGGCATTTAATTTCTTATTTTGACCTTAAATTATGTGTATTTACTGTTTACATTTATTGAAATGGATATTATTTAGGATCTGGGAATGAATTAGTTCACTTTCCATTATTTCTAATAGGAAAAATTGATTCAAACTTCAAATAGCCTTCTAAAATGAATTAAATTCAAAATGCCATATGAAGCACCACTGCCATTTGTTTATTAGCCTCCTTCATCCTTATATGGAAAGAATCTAATTTAAATTATAATCTCCTAGTATTTAATACAAAAATATTAAATTTAAAAATTCTTTTAATTAAAGATGACATATGATTTTGAAAGATTAATATTGAAATCTTTAATACCAATTAGAATTTAATAGTCTCATTTTTTTAACACTGACTTTCATAATATCAACACAGGAAAAACCCAATACTTCATATTAAATGAAATTATCATTTGATAAATTACAAACAACAATGAGAAATTAAAATTTCATAACTAAATAACCTACCTGTTTCTCGGCCACCACTATATTCAGAAGAAAATTCTCCATTTCGGAAAATCTTGAGTGTAGGATAACCACTGACACCATACTTTGAACAAGTTTCTTTACCAGCATCAGAAGTACAATCCACCTACAAAAAGAAAATTATATAATCATTGCAAAATTATTTTCACAAACATTGAATTCCTTTTAATCTCAACCAGTCTACATTTTTAATCTACAGAAAACTGTTTAGATTTGATAATTTATATTGCATATGAAAATTACAATTACAGTAGACTCCCCCCTATAACGCGGGTTCATATAATGCTGATTCGTATGTCACGGTGAAAAAATTGTGACTGTATTTGTATAAAGACACTAAAAGAAAATGCAGTAAAATGTCATTGCTGACTCGTGTCGCGACAGGATTGGTTGAATCTGGACCAATAGTGGACGAGCAGCCGAACTACTTACACGCTACTGAGAGAGTTTAGGCGGGTAAGTTGAGTTTACTATCATTTGTACAGTATATAAATTAGGTACTGTAAGTCTAATACAGTACTGAAATTTTATACATTTCTTGTGAAAAAAACATTTCTTATTCAACGGCCATAAAAATTATTTCTATTAATGATGTCTCCAAAGTTCAACGAATTTTTTGCAGAAAAATAACTTACCAGAAAACGTGCCCGCCATTTGGTGCGCTGCTCCATGATGAAAACAAGCTTAAGCAATGGCATCGTCAAATGGAAATAATCCTACAATTTTTCATTTATAGCATAGTTTATACGAATTATTCCCAAAAAATTGTGTGTTTTGGAAATGGTGAGTCAAATTAGTCTAGAATCAATTAATTTTATGGAAGAAAACCTTTCAAACAGCTGTAGTCTGTAAACTGCACACGTGCCGGGCTGTGATTAGCTCATGTATTTAAGGATTCCTACAACATGAAATTCTTATAAAGTGGAACGTATCTACTGCGTTGTAGGGGGAGTTGACTGTATTGATTTTATGAAATGTAAAACTGATGTAATATGAATGTTTTAACACAAATTAAATTTTAACAGGAATAATTAATCATACAAACTAATTTTATTTGTATTACAATGTTATACACTTTAAATCTATACTATATCAAGAGTTTTTTAAAAAATTAAAACGTCAATATAATAGAAATACAATCATAATATAGACTAAATTAACAAAATTTAAATACCAATTAACTGTATTAATTAAACAAATAAGAATTTCTTTTCAATTTAAAAGTAAAAAATCAGTTTGATTATCTTAATAGTATATTAGTAATTTTTATAATCATTAATCCAACAATATTTTTTTGCAAATCCAAAGCAATTTAGTGTAACTATAAAGATCAGGCATGGCTGTTTATAAATAATGACTACACCAAATTTTAGATCAGTGGTTCCCAATTAGTTTTTCCTGTGTACTACTTCAAGAAAGAGCTCAAACTCGCGTACCCCTTATAGCAGAAATTCATATTAATCCATACTATTATTATAAATTCGAAGGTAATTCTGTCTGCCTTTCACCTTTTCACGTCTAAACCACTGAACAGGTTTTAATAGAATTTAGCACAGAGATAGCTTACATGTTGGAGATGGACATAGGCTACATTTTACTGCGAGAAAATATCTTGCTCCCACGAGAAAATTCGATATAATATAGGAGAAGCTGTGGGTAGTGATAAACAGCTAGTGATAAATAAAATGGTTTTTTTTTTTTTTTACATTTATTACCTTTAAAATACAATTCTAATAATAATGAAAATAATATAAGGTTATTTAATTTTAATGTGACAAATGTGCATGATTTTCTTTGCACAACTTTGTAAAATCTGGTTGTTTTTTAGTCAGCTTCAGTCTCAAGTCATCTTTGAGTTGAAGTCGGTGACGATGTTTAGTTTTCGTGTTTGTCATGGCCGAAAATCCGCTCTCTCAGAGGTATGTTGTGCAAAATGGTAGAAAATATTTTATTGCCGCTTCGCTGACATGATGATAATGATAATTGTACAATTTTTGTTTCTTGCGCAAGAATTTCATTTAGGTATTATCACAAATGCATTTTTTTAAATGAAATTTTGAAAATATTTTTAGTTATACATAAATGAATTTTTGCATTCCACATCATGTTGTAAATTGTCGAATTTTTGATGGTCCACCCATTATTTTTTTTATTGCTTCATCTCATACATTTAAATTTTAAATCAACCAATTTTAGATTACCGCGTGTACCCCTTCATGCAATTTCGCATACCCCCAGGGGGTACGCGTACCACTAATTGGGAACCATTATTTTAGATGATCAAATATACTTGAAGAATTCAATTGTTCATATTGAAAATGTTTTGCCCTTGTCATCTCTCCAGTAATTTAAACTTTCATTTGTTCTATATTCTAACAGATAAAATAGGCTCTTAAATATAGAACAAATAATCTTAAAATTGCTGTTAATGAGATGATATATCCCAAAAATACTTTGATGTGAATGATTTTTAACTTCTTAAAGTAAGTTTGATATCATTCTAAAAAACATTTCAATTTCCATTATTAATACACATTTTTTGTAAAAAGAACCAGTTACAAAGATTGTACATTTTACATGTATATATCTTAAAAAAAAAAAAAAAATAGTAATAATAAAATAAATTTCTTCTACATTAACCTAAGTTCTGAAGAAAGCTTTTTCAGACTAGCTATAAAAATGAATTAGAGCCTATACATTTAAGGAGTAAAAATTTATAAATTGTATTGAGATGTAAAAATTCACACTATAGTAACTTAAATGAGTTTTATTTACTGTTCTGTATTAACTGCAAAATCACTTTTTGAAAATTAGTTATTACAGTTTAACACCATTAATTTTCAAACAGTATTAAAATCTTATTTTCACTGATGATGCAAATTATTGTAAACTTGGATGAACTATTCATAGTTTGTTTCAATTCTATGGCAATTTGTTTACCCCACAGCTGACAAAATAAATTTTATAAAACAGACTCTGTCACAACAAATTGTTCATTTATATATTATTGGGTCATTGCAAATGAAATGGCCATTTTTTAAAATTTAAACTTTCCGGATCTGTAGTTCAACTTTTATCCGTGTGAACAGTGCTATGTTTGCAATTGGAAGAGCATACATATAATATGCGAATTAAAAATATAATCTCATTTATATTGTGAGTTCCACATGTTAAGAAAACTTTTTCTGATGGCATAGAGAGAAAAGGAAATTGAATAATTTTCTTTTACTAGCATAAAAAGGAACATAATGCAGCAAAAGCAACTCAAAATACTAATAAAACTTTTGGTGAAGATTCTGTGAGTGAGCAGGCCACCAAGCATTAATTCATGCTGGAAATACAAATCTCAAAAATTAGAATTGAAGATCATAATCTGACTGTCTGGGAAATTGCAGAAAGGTTGAACATACTGGACATTATTCAACCATTTCTCAACAAATAAACATGTTAGGGAAAGTCAAGAAGCTCAATAAATGTACCACACAAACTCAGTGAGAGACATCATTTGGAAGTCTGCAGTTCTTTAATTATTTGTCACAAAATTGTTCCCATCCACTTTATTCTCCAGACTTTTTGCCAACAGACTTTCACTTTTTTTATACATTTGGACAGTTTTTTTGGCAAGGAAAGTCTTCAAGGAAGGGGATGCAATAAAAAGTACCTTTAATGTCTTTTTGGCTTCTCATTCTCGTGATTTCTATCAAATTAGAATTAATGCATTAATGTTGGTGGAGACAAATTTGATTGAATATGTAAGTTTTAAATTAAATTTATAAACATTCAAAATCATAAGTAAAAATTGGTGATTTTATTTGCCAACCTAATATGAGAATATGCAAATGAAGAACAATTTACAGTGAAGTAAATCATAGCTATTGCTAGTTGCTTCATTGTTAAATTCTTAGAAAAAAATTTGAANTAAATTAAATTTATAAACATTCAAAATCATAAGTAAAAATTGGTGATTTTATTTGCCACAACCTAATATGAGAATATGCAAATGAAGAACAATTTACAGTGAAGTAAATCATAGCTATTGCTAGTTGCTTCATTGTTAAATTCTTAGAAAAAAATTTGAAGTATATATTAAACAAGTATACTTTGTACAACTTGTATTTTTAAACTAAAAATTTAAAATTTTCTAAATTATTAAAAAATGAATGACATCTCTCAATTTATGCAAAGTTTTAATTTTAAAAATTTTGGAAATACATTATTGCAATTTTGATTTAGATTTTTACAATTAATTTTTGTTTTATAAATTGGAAGATGGCAAATTACCAAAATGAGTTCTGTACAGTTCACATCATTAAAAATAAAATATTTACACTTAATTAAATATTTCAGAAAATAAATTAAACAATTCACTATTGTTTCAAACAATTTTTTATTGTTTAAACTTCAAAAACTAGTTGTTATTTTCTTTTGAGAAATATGAAATTCATTCATAAACTTATAGTATTTTATGTTTTGTTTCAAAAATAAAATGTTTTAAATAAAAATAAGTACTAAATCATTCCATACAAAAAAATATATTATACTCACTTTAAAATGTTAAAACAAAGGAAAGCTCAATTAATGCAAAATAAATTATTGTGTTTTTAATTATATCAAAGACAATTTTTTTAAAATACAGGAAGGTGCAAAAGTAGGTATCTAGTTAAGTCTGAGAAATAATAATAATAATTAACATCAAACATTTATATTTTTATCTTTTATTAGTTTGTATTACTTATTTGTGATTTAATTTGTACATAAAAATAAATGATTTTTTCTTCCTGTTTTCTCCCTGCATGTTTTTTTCCCCATAACAACAAATGCACCCCTTGTATTTGAATTAGTATTAGAAATGTTAACTACTAATGTTTTTAATGGTAATGGTTTAATGGCCAAAATGGTTCTGAAATTTAATAGAAATTAATTTACTTTTTAAGAAAGTTGAAAAATAAGATGCAAGAATTTACTTTAAAGTGCCACAGTAATTATGATTAAAAATAGAACATACATTTAACAGATTTAATAAATATGTAATTAGGTTAATATGATTATGCATCTGTCATTACTAAAATAAGTAGAAACACCACTGGAAAAATTTCATTTGCCACATACTAATTACAGTGGAACCTCGGTATACGACCTTAATCCGTTCCTGGTGTTTGGACTTATACCGAATAGGACGTATACCAAACCAACCTTTTCCATAAGAAGTAATGTAAAAATGATTAATCCGTTCTCATGTAAAAAAAATGGCTGGCTTTAAACACCTCGCTTTCCTCGCTAGTTTCTGCTTGATTTTTCATGAGATCAGCATGTATCCTTTTAACTTTCTCGCAAATAATTTCTTCCGATACGCTGTCGCCAGCACACTGTTTTTCAGTTATCCAAAGCAAAAGCAATTTCTCGACATGATCTAATGTCTTCGATCTCTGTTTAGAAATTGATTTAACCCCTTTCGCAACGTTAGCAAATTTAATAATGTCTTTATTTTTCACGATTGTCGATATCGTCGTTCTCGGAATACGGTATGCAACAGTTAAATCTCGAACACGCGTGCCACCTTCATATTTCTCAACAATCTCTTTTTTCAGTTCCATTGTGATTTTAGTCATTTTTTTTTTTTTTTTCTGTTGCCTTTTTGCAATTCATGATTAATAAAAATAATAACATTTTACTTACAAATTAAAATCAGAAGAAATTTAACAAAGTTATAAATTGTGGCACCACGAACGTCTAGTCTGGTATAATACACCGATAGTGCTACTTGTTCATAGATGGCGCGTATAATTGAATTAAGTCGTATACCGAGCAAAATTTGTTTCGTCCAAACAGGACGTATTCCGAATTGGGCGTATTCTAAAGCAGACGTATACCGAGGTTCCACTGTACTTCAATTTGAAAATTTTAATTTCTACATTTGAACAAAAATTCCATATTTTTATTTAAAACTTAATAACATCAATTTCTGTTGCTAGAAATTACAATAAAAATTTGGATTAATTTAAAATAATAAGAATAATTTAAAGTCTACTAAGGGAAAATTATTATTATATAAATTTTTCTGTTAAAAAAAATCAAATTTATGAATTTATCACAGCATGTGATACTGATCAGAAATAATATTCATTAACTTGCTACTAAATAAGAATGAAAAGTCAATTTGTTATTTATTTTAACACCTAAAAGACAGTTTTTATTTCTATTGATTTATTTGATGTGTGCTTAATGTATTGCATTTTAATTTGCTACTGACAAAGTAATCAATTATTGTTAAATATTTATATTATTTAGAAAAAAAAAAAAACAATAAAAAACTTATACTACAGTAGAGCGTCGATTATCCAAATCAATTGGGGACTGGGGTGGTTCGGAAAATCAATTTTTTGGATAACCGATTACGTACAAAAAAATACATTATTAATATATTATATTAGTATATCCCAATAATAGTATATTAATATATCCCATGTTTAAATTTTTCTCCACTGTGTGTCGCTTTGAATTTTTGTTGACGTTAAGCCTAATGAAAATTTTCCTAATAATAATTGTGGCTATTGTATCGTTAAAAATTATATCTTTATTTTGTACAAACAAAATAAATATATTGAAAAATATAAAAACAAAAACAATTATAGTTTAGAAGTTAATCTAGTATCAAAAAGTTATATTCAGAACAACACAGTCTGACTGGAACGCTTTTGGTTAACAGACATTTCGGTTGATTGACATTTGGATAATTGACACTCTACTGTATTTACATTAAAAAGTTATTTTATGTACTATACTGTTTTATTATTAGATGATAAACAGACAAACTTCTGTATAGCTAAAATAATTTAGACAATTATACAAATATTTCTTAATTTCTTTACTTATAATTAAATTTAAGGTAAATATAGTATATTTAAGTCACCTTTGCCAAAGGAACAGCTGGATCATTTTTCTTTAAAATTGTTGCTGCCTCTTCGTATTTTGGAGCAAGTCTTTTGCAGTGTCCACACCTACAATAATGTAATTTTATAAATAATCACCAAAATTTAAGTTTTATTAGTAAATTAAATGTAAACTGATAAAGAAAATGCAAATTAGGTTAAAAAAAATTAATACAAATGCCATTCAACAATATAATTATATATTATGTGAAAATGAAATATTAATATGATAGAAAAGTTTTGTTTATGAAAATAATTTGAATATTTATAGAAATGACTTATTTTTAATTTCACTTCTAACAAAAGTTGAATTCATTCTTGAATAAATATATTCAATCACAGTAAAATTATTTAAATCATTTCAACAGTTAATCCAATTTTTATTCTGTTCACATTTAAATGAATTTATATTTTAAAATTAATCACAGTTAATACTACATCGTATCTTAATTATTAATCTGAAAATCAAAATGATTTGAATTAAATTCTATAAAAATTGCATTTTAATTAATGAGTTAAGTTTTAAAGTTGATTTAGTAATTAACAGTCCAGAAAAATATTTCTGTATAAAGGATTAAAATTATACAATTTCAATAATAATAATAATCCATAAAATTAAAGAAAACATACAATAAAAGCATGCCAAAAACAAAGGAGCAACATTCAATGTATCTATGACAACTGATCTAATTATTTCTCTATAGCTTTAATATATTTTACAAAAATAGAATAGTAAAGATTTCGTACTGAGAAATCACTAATGTCATTTCTAATAATGAAAAAAAATATTATTTAATTTTGATAGTTATCAATATGCAAATTTCTAATTTTATCTAAAGAATAATTCTAATCGCTTTTGCTCTCTTTTTAACAGTCTGAAAAATTTCATGACAATAGCATGAATGAATCACTAAGGATTTACAACAACAAAAACCAACTGGTAAATTTGTAATAAGTCAAAAAAAAAGAAACACTTGTAATCCAGCATTAAGTTTTTGATGGACTAACATCTAACATTCCAAAAAGAGGAAGAGGAAGATGACACACAAACATTTATTTCATTCTATGCAATTCAGATGATCCATTTAGTTACTAGTAGTCTTCAGATCTTTAATGAAAACATCCTTTACTCATTGTTTCAGTGCTAATTCAAGAATAAGACAATATTTATATAATAATTTTTTTCCATTTTTACGAAAAAATTAATATAAAAATACAATATATTTTCTAAAATAGGTTATACACAATGTAAATACAACAGTATGATGTTCCATTTACAAATGAAATTAAATAAATAAATTGGTTAGGTTTATACATGAGATTTTGTTCAATTATGAGTGAGAGTTGTTTTTACCAATTAAGAAAAACTGGAAAACTATCTTTAATTCTTATGGTAGGATAGATTTAAAATAATTAAGTGATGAACAGCAACCATTTTTTAGGTTTTAATAATGTTGTGGAGTTATGATAATGCAAAGTTTTTTGTATATTCCTTCCTTCAATGCCTCATTTAAATTTAGCCAAATTAAGGTGGATCCAATTTCCATCCCCCCCACTAATCCACAACTTTGTTCAATTATTCACTTATTCATAATTTACAAAATTCTATTCAAAACTTGATAATTTTTCATTCATTACAAAACAGATCCGTTCCAATGATAACAATAAATAATTCTCTTATGAACAGTAAAATACTATTTTGATGTTTTACTAATTATTTTTGTTTTAGAGAGAATTTTTTTATGATTTATTTCAAAAATTTAAAAGAATAGAATGTATTTTTTCAATGTTATAATAAAACTTAATTTAAAACAAGTTTTTAGAATGTTTACAGTTTAGTGAATACAGTATATATAAATCTGTATGGACCATGAAGGTATGTTGAAATCAAGTGAAACTATATTAGTGCAACTGTAATAATGATGGTAATAAGTAATTACAATGTATGGCAAGGACAATATTCCGTAGAATAACCATATAATTTAAAGGAACCTTTACTATCTTGTAGAACTATCTCATGACTAGATACACGATACAGTTAGATATAAAGGCCTGTAGACATTAACACGAGTCAACAGATTTTCCCATATATACTGCAACTGTCACTTCTATTACCTCATACTCATAGATGACCAAAGCTGGTTCTCCATCTGGCCCTATAAATCTCAATGGGTGACAAATCTAGAGACCAGGCAGGCCAAGCAAGTATGGTTATATGACACTCTCCTGGGAAACCCCAACTATATATGACTGAGCATTATCTTGCTGGAAAATCACTGTTGCAACACAAAAAGTAATATGAAGGCACAAAATTTTTTAAATATACAAGCTGTGCCATAAAAGTCCCTTGTATCATTACTAGAAGTGATATCATACAAAATGGCTTTCCTAGACCAGCACTCCAACAATGGAAGCTGTGAACCATTCAACAGTAAAAGCAAGATTGAACTGCTTACCAGTGGTCATCTGTTTTCAGCTAGAACCAAGGTTTGTCAGTAATAATGATATACTGCCAGTCCATACTTCTCTATCACAGCACCACTGAAAACAAAGTCAAAGATAACAGGGTGCTAATGGCAAAATGCATGGTGATTATCATGCATGATCTGTCTTTTAGTAGACAGTTCCATAGCAAGCTTTCACCATCTCTAGATGATAGACAAAAATTTCATTGCAGTTGATTTTGATAGGAGAGATAATTGCCTAATCATAAGATCAGGCAATTATCTCTCCTAGTGGTCTGTCTGGGTGTTCAGATCCTGCCCATCATGTATGTGTCATATATCCATTGTCTCCAACATTTTCCTTACAGTCAGATCATAACAGCCCAGATGATAAGTAATTTGATAAAATGACCATCTCAGCTTTCCTCAACCCAATGGTGCAGTTTTTCTCGAACTTTGTCAGTTGTGCATAATGTCATTTATTGCATTGTATAGGTATGTCTAGTGTTTAAAGATTTCCAAACAGGTAGACTAAAAATTCTAAACAATAAACCTCTGAAAGCTTTTTTATAGGATACTGGAATAGAAATTTTAAGGCACTTTGCAGTGGAATTACCTGGCATGCAATCAGTTTAAAACTTCAATCATTTATATGTTACATACTCAGTAGCCTCAGACACTGAGGCTACTAAACTGTATGCTGAGCAGAGATAGCCCTAGGATTTGTGAGGCCCTAGACAAAATTTATTTCTGAGGTCCATTAAGTGTGATGGACAGAGGGTAGATTTATTTAGGTCTATAATAATATAAACATTTTTAATACAGAAATAGACAGTAGAACATACAATAAAGTAATAAAAATACGTACAAGGAACTGGAAAATTCAATAGGGTAAAGAAATTCACCTACAAAAATGGAATAAAAACTTCAAAAACAAAACAATCCTTTCTATTTTAATGAAAAATTTGTTTTTTTTTTTTACTGTTTTCTGTGTGAGTAACATGCAACTTGTACAGTACTAGAATCAATTTTTACAGTGCAAGCCATGAATTATATATTTATTGAATTTGTTTCTGAGAATTGAGTTCTTTGTTATTTGTTTTTCTTGACTTGCCAGGCTTAAATGTAATTTAAAGGTAAAAATACATATAAAAAAATTTATCCATGTTTTTAGAATTAAATTATCAATATTAATTTTAACAATAAGAACATCAAGTAAGATTTTCAGAAATCAACTCTACAGTTTTGCCCAAGGGACCACCCATCACATAACATGTACTGTATGTTACAGCATGGCAGTATGAGTTGCCTGTGCACTACATGGCTCCCAAGGAAGAGACATTATACATACTTCATGAGGCTCCAGGCTCAAAACAGCATGAGTTAAATACAACTTACATGACAGTTAATGTATTAAAGTAAATGATGGCACTAAAGTAACCTGACCTTCATTCTTACTTTATACGTCATGAAATTTGATATCTTTATCCAATTTCTTGCAATCCATTATCTTGCAATACAGTAGAAATGAACAAACCATCTTGTTGCCCACAAAAACTTAAGCTAATTGCTCTAGATGGTATGAAAGTAACTGCACAACTGCAAATAACAAAAACAATACAGAGGAATAATCAAGTTTTGCAGTAATATCTTTTGATACAAAAGATCCAAAGTAAATGTTTCTTGACACAATGTTGACTGGAGGTAGTTCTTGATCAATTTTAATTTTGAAAGTAATCATTCTGCAGATGCAACTGACACTGATACAGTATAATTATATTTACAATAAGGGACTGCCCATAAATGACATCCACACTGGGAGGGAGGGAGGTAGTTAAAAAGAAGCATCTTAAAAATAATCTTTGTATGACACTGTTTTATACATTCTTTATTTTAGCTTTTTTAAAGTATTAATAATAAATAAATAGAAAAAAAATTCAGTATTCCCTTCTAAATAAAATGTAAAAGCAATTATGATATTTCAGAGAAACTGATTTGTTCATTTATATAAACATGTCCATCAAATAAAGTGTAATATACATCTATAAAACTTGTTTTCATTGTATTAAGCACATGTCAAATCAAAGTATATGTCAGTTAAACAGATCTGACTAAAACTTTTTTCTAAACTAATGTTTTAAAAAATTTTCTATTATTTTATTTATTGTTTTGAGTTTCTTTCACATAGATAATATTTTCATTTCTTTTCAATAGTTACACTATTAGCTATATATTGGAAAGTTCTCTTTATCTAATATACTAATAAAACCATTGATAAAACCAATATAAAAGAAAACTCATGAGATATTGCAATATCTCATATCAGGTTTTTTATACAGTATTGCAAAAACAATTTTTTACTATCATGCAAAAAACATTCTTGGAATGATCTCTTTTTTTCACTGAAAATATATAATGTATAACAGGCATTATTAGTCACTTAAGTTGTATATAATTAAAAATCTGTATATTTCTTTACAAATGATATGCACAATAGGCTTTTATCTCTCAGTTAACAGTTTCTGGTTGAAAATTTTCCTAACAAAAGCTTTTTACAGCTTCAAAACATTCTGAAATAGATTAACTGATAACTGAAGTTCTGAATCTCAGAATTTTATTTATAAATTGCAAGCATCAGAGCTTGCAAATGTATTAAATAACTCTTTGATTAATCCAAATATAAAAATCAGCAAAGATGACTAAGATTTAATATTCTGTTTGTTACAAAATTAAGCTTTGACTTAATATCAATAAAACAATTTTTCTAATATTTACAGTATATTTTAATAAATTATTTCTTAAACAAGATTAAGATACTTTAACTTATATTAAAACATATTAATAGATAAAATAAATTTACCTTAATGCATCATCAATATCTCTCAATTTTTTAACTGTTTTGTTATATTGTGATTTCTTAAAACAATGTTACTAAATTTATTATTATTGTAATTATGATAAACAACGCCATATCAATTAATTATATTAGAAAAAGAAACTATCAAAATTAAAAATAATCTCTTATTAAATCAAAATAATTTCAACAAAACTCCTAACAATAACCAAACAACCAGTAATACAAACATGTACTTGAAAAGCAAAAACTGTATTTTCATCCAATTTTAAAGAACATCTTCAGGCTGGAATTGAAATAGGGAATCGCACAATTTTCAAAGATTCAGATATTCTACACTGCTGCTGATTGGAGGATATGTCATATACAGTATATATATAATCCTGTGAAAATTCCAAGATTTATGTTGGGAGGATATATATTTTTCAGATTCAGGATGGTGTTATTTTCTTTATAGTTGGTCTTTTTTCTTAAGGCTATCTTGTAAATTTACACAATATTTAAGCTGTATTTTATTTGCTATTCTGTGTAGAATTTTGTTCTGGTTAAAGTGAACTTCTACATCCAGGTCTAGCATATGATGATAGGGTGATGGATATGTGGCCATTATAAAGCAGCCTGAAGAAAAAAGGCCAACTGTAAGGAAGATAACACTGTCCTGAATACATGGAAAATATATATTCACCCAATGTAAATCTTGGAATTCCCACAGGATTTTCCATACAATGTTATCCACCTATAGTATCAGCAGCAGTAGCAACAGAAAATCCAAATCATTTGAAATTTGTGCAAGAACTCCAGCCTGAAGATGTTCTTTAAAAATAAATGAAAATGTTTGCTTTTCAAGTGAGTGCTTGTATTGCTGCTTATTTGGTTAGTGTGTTAGGAGTTTTATCAATATTAACCAATGTTGTCTTTTAACAAAATTTTATATTATTGATCAAAATCAGTGTATTTTTCAATAAAACATTATCCGCAAACTTATTTGAAAGGTATAATAAAAGTTATTAGGCACTATTAAAAAGACACTATGTTTATAATTTGCATAATAAAAGTTAATATAAATGACATGTAAGTGTACCTGGCAATTTAGAAAGTTAGAGCATTAATTATATTACCAAAAAATATTGGTTTAGCTCATCTCTGTGGAATATGTAGTTATTATATATGATACAATTTATATTTTAATATAAATTTTTTTAATATTGATCTAGATCAGCAATAGCCAACATTAAAATGGCTAGGGGCCAGAAATTATGATATCAAAGGTATATAACAACATCAAATTTGTTTTCTTTTACAATTTTTTTTTGTTCATTTCATGTTTTATTTTAGGAATAAGAAAAATTGTTATATTCAAAATTTAACATCAAGTTTGCAATTAGCATTAAACAACTTTAAAATACAGTATTACCAATTTAGCTGTTTTTAATGAGAATGCTATTCATCTCAAAATTCAGCAACTCAAATACAAAGAGTAACTAAGGTGTCACAAGCAGAAATCCATCCTCCTCACAACTGACATGTAAATTAATTTGATAGTCTCATTTAATGCTAAAGCAGCTTTCATTTCTCATTCAGCAATACAAAAATTAAATACACAAAGTTTCTGGCTGATTTGGCTTGAAGATGATTTGGACTTTCTACATGCACAGACTCTTTAATGGTCAATAATTGATTGTGACTATGGAATATTAGCTGTTTCTAATGACAGTTATTTACTGGAGTGGTTACTGGAAGGATATTGCATAGGCTGTAAAAAACAACCTAACAAGCAATCATTTGGCAACCATTGATCTAGATCTTTAATATAATGAATTTACTTTGTTCAACCATCACCTAATTGATTTATTAAGTGGAAAACAGTATAATTTTCAAAATTTCAGTATCATGGAAAAAATTAAATGCTAAAAGCATTATAATAGCAATTACAATATTTTCTTTTTTTACTAAAATTTAATACCAATAATGGCATCAGAAATAATATATTTGTCTTAAAAATATTAAAACTTTCTGCCAATCATTATTTGAGCTATGTAAATACTAAAATTTTATTAAATAAATTTTTTTTTAATCAAGAAAATTTCTATGAATTTACAGTATAGGGTAAATAATTTACATTTTTATATTAAATGAAGAACTGAAATGAACTATCATTATATAAAATCATTCTTGTTTATAAATCTACCTTAAACCAATGATTATTTTATCATCTGAATACATAATAGATAATATAAAAACTGACTCATGCTTTATATTGTATACTGAATTTAGTATAGAATCATATAGCATCAGAAAAAATAATCAATCATAATAAAAATTTGGTTAAGAAAAACATAATAAAAGCATGAAACAACACTTTGTCAGAAATTTCCCAACTGATCAAAAACAAATATGGTAGTTTGCATTCATAACAAATTATAGAAAGCAAATTACAGAATTAAACCAAAAAAAGTTTAAAGTGGAAGATAAGAAAATCATATTAAACAATTATATTACAAATGCAAAAATATATTACTTAATAGATGCAAGCTTACTTCTCAAAATTCATTTTAATGCATCAATTGTACATTTTATTTTTATCATAACTTTTTATTAAATTATGAAAAGTGCAAATGTCTTAAATAAACAATGTTAAGCATTACAAATTCCAAAATTATTCCAAACAATTGAAAAGCTTAGACAGACTATGACATTCTACATGTTTATGCACATTTGCACAAATATATATATACAAAGCAAACAATAGATGCTCTATTCATTATTAGAGAGATAATTTAAATAAATGGTTTCTTCTGATATTCTTTATTTACCACAAATGAGTTTGTGTAACATTAATAAAAATATACTGGCATATGACATACAAGAAATAAAGTTCCCTCTTATCTAATTCTAGAAAATTTACTTTACTTATAAGTATGTTAGCATATTATTAATGACACTGAAAGTATTCTATATTGTTATCTGCTAAGAAAGATAATTTTATCAGCTATTTTCATAATTTTCCAAACTAGGAGCATGAAAATCCAACAGCCTCTAATTTATTTTGTCTTATATGTGTGAAAATAAAATACCTTAAATTCACCTATTATTCTACCACGTATATTCTAAAGTTTCATAAAATTTTATAAATATAAAATTATATCCCAAAATTCATCTAAATTTGAAACTAGTAAAGTTATGTTTTTTGCATCTTAGTCATTAAAATATTAAGCTGATACAATTAATATTCATATGAATCTTTGTCTAAATTCTAATAATTAATAAGCTTATTGCTATAATTTACAGAAATAATGCATAATAACTTACTAAAGAAATTTCCTGAGTTTAGAAATTTTTTGAATTTCCAAAATACTATATACAGGGGTGTCCCAAAAGTTTCCATACATACAAAGGTGAAATGTAACTTTATTCACAAAACATTAAAATATCAGCATTAGGCCTAAGATTTGTGTCAGTGGATTGACGGAGTAAGGCAATGGAAACACATGGGTGATCTGCCAATGGGGTAACTTCTAGCAGGACTTCTTACGTGGAAACTGGGGCCATATTCTGGTCACTGTCTCTGGTCTCTCGTCAGCCGGTCGTTGATTAGCTAATCCAAATGATTAGCCAATCAGCGACTGGCTTACGAGAGACCAGAGACAGTGACCAGAATATGGCCCCTGGATTCTGTTTAGGTGTTAGACACATGAAGAAAACCCAAAACACTGCATGGTGTAACATTTGCAATAGATAATAGATGCTCTATTCATTATTAGAGAGATAATTTAAATAAATGGTTTCTTCTGATATTCTTTATTGGTCAGGCACAAACCTGACCAATAAAGCCCATTGGTCAGGCACAAACCAACAACCACGTTCAACAGTTTTATTTATTCGCCCACCAGTGGGCTCGATTTGTATCAATGTATGGAGACTTTTGGGACGCCCTGTATTTTGTCTAATACATTACACAATTAACTAATTAAAGAGAAAATTATTACATGCCCATTGCAACCAATTATTATTCACTGGACAAATTGAAAAATATATGATTCTGAAGTTCTATTCTTAAAGCTCCATCCAATCGTCGTAACAAAATATTTAGTGCGTTTGTCTAGATTTTAAAATTTCATCACAAATAACTTTTTGTATAATTCATTAAAAATCTGCAAAGATACTGACAATTACAACCAAATTTTACTGATAAGATATACCAAAAATGTAAGTGAAAATAGATTTTCTTGAACATTCAAAGAAACTCCCCAAATCCCTCTTGAAAAAAAATTATATATATGTATACTCATTTTTCTTTAGCATGTTAATATTTAGCACTCCTACTTTAAATTTTATCATTTGTCATCCTTAATGACGTTTTACACATTTTAGTTTAATAAATTCTATATTCTCTCTCTGCTTGGACATTTCTAGACATGAATTAAATAAATTACTAAATTCATTGCTATCGTTTAAATGTACCAAACATTTTCTGGGATGAAATACATAAATAATAGCATCATTAGATAAACTCCTGTGCAATTTCTTTCTTCTCAGATTAATTATCATGTTTATATGGTAAATATTCTATTAAATTGTATAATGTGATGTTTTTTCTTATGTAGATAGAAGGAATCCTATACTTACCAAGGAGCAAAGAATTCTACTAAGACTGTGTCATGTTCGGCCACTCTTTGATCAAAATCTGGACCTGAAAAATCTAATACATCGCTAGAAATGACTAAAGACAATAAAGATATAAAAGCTAATACGCGAAACATTTTCCCGTCTCTTCGTCTCGAAATATTTCAATATAAAATTCTTTCTCTAGCGTTTCCGTCAAACGTGTCTTTCAGATCTGCGTTGTCTTCTTCTAATTGGTCGAAATGCCGGTTTACGTCATAAAACACGTTTCGTATTACTAAACTTTTTTATTATTTTTTGAAAATAATTACTAATCTTATCGATTATTATTTATTTTCAATTAAAATAATAAATTTTTAATTTAATAAATTTAACTATATATTAATAATAATATTCGATGACGTCACTGAAGGTCAAAATGTGGAAAATTATGAAATCCTCTGCTTGATTTAGACAAGCGAAAAGATAAGATTGGAACCAAATTAAAATGCCACTATATGTGGTTTTTTTCTATATGATTATTATAATTTTATTCTTAAATGCGATGAAATATACAATTTCCTAATTATATAAATATATCATCTGTAATTTTTCTATTTTAATTGGTTGTAAAATCATTTTATTGCATCTGTGTTATGTATAATGCTAATAAACAGATAGTTTATACATGATATACAAATTTACGTCTTCAATTATAGAATTTAAACATTATTTTATGTTCGAAATATAAGGCGAAAATGGTTATAACCTTTTCCATGAATTTTTCATTTTCTCTACCAAAAAAAAAACAACAAAAAAAACAGAATGAATAAATATTTTTTGAACTTTCTTTCATAGCTTCAAGGTACAATAAATCAAAGATTTTCTTCCTTTTTATAACATTTAATGAAATTGCAATTCCTTAAAGGAAAATTTAATAAGTTTATTTACTTGTATTTATTTACTAAACATGTATTTTTTTATAATAAAGTTTTACAGAAAAGTTTAAAAACCATTTTGTAAGTTTATTTAAAATGTTGATTTAGTAATATTAATAACTATATTCAAATACATGCTCATATACCCTACAGTATTTATGTATATGATAGGTTCCATAGCGGTCGAGAGTGAAGGAGCTGCAAATTTTCCCCCAGGCACGGAGAAAACTTTGAGCCCATAGTGATACCTATCCCTATAAAATTAATATCATTTTTACTAATAGAAAATATGATATTTAAGACTGCTTTTTATTAATAAAGAAACATTCTAAGTATTTCACTCGTTCAAAAAAAAAATTAATTAATTAAAGAACCTTCGAAAGAGCTAAAGAGCTCCCCGAGAGGCACAAGGAACCTGTTCAACACCACGGAACTCTCGATGGCCTCATATCCATGTACTGTACAGTATATGTTTTAGAATATGCTTTGAAAATAGTTCTAGTATTGCTGGAAAAGTAGGCCTGTAGGAGGAAAATACAGATGTGTGAAATATTGTATCAATACATCTACGCAAGAGTTGTAAATACAGAAAAAAAAAACACATGTAAAAAATAATTGCACCTAAATAAATATGAAATAGATAATAAATTTTAATATATTTATAAGACTGCGTGAAAGTTTATTTGTGTTCTAATTATTTTAGAGGAAATTTCTCTAGCCATAATTATAGAATGTTAATACAGTAAATGCATCATATTGCATGATATTTGCTTATCTTCTAAATTAGATCTATAACAAATAGACTTTGTTTCTGAAATTGGAATCATAATCATTTATTCATTAATAAAGTTAAATTTTGAATTGTAATTTGAATACAATGTATTAGTTAAATAATGATCAACATTTTAAAAATTATGTTAAAATTTACTCTTTCTGGAACAATGAAATACAATTTTAAATGCTACAAAAATATTAAATTAACAAAATTATACAGTAGAGTCTCTGTAGTCTGATACTCCATAGGGCACTAACCTTAAAATTTTGTAGTATTTTTTTTATAGTTTTAAAGTTAAATTTTGTAGTTTACGTATAGGCCTATAGTTTTTTAAATACTTTGTACAGTGCTCTATTCTGTGAGGGTAGTTTTGCTAAGTTGTTGTATTAATAAACTGATTTGTTCTTATAAATACCGTAGTTCTATTTTTTAATTCAAAATCCAGAAATCCGAAAATATGTTGTAATCCGACACCCACCGGTCCGCTATATGCCGGATTACAGAAACTCTATTGTATTGTATATGTGTAAAATAAATAAATTTCTAGTTTTCACGATACTGTATTAAAATAAAATATTCTAGATCAGTGGTTCCCAACCTTTTTTCATTAGTGTACCCCGTGACATGTCATAATCTCTAGATTGTACCCCTCATTTAAGAAATTTTATTGAGTAACCGTATTGTTAATTTTACATATTGTAACTTTAAATTAAAGAAAAAAAACCTAAAAGAAAAAGTGTATAATGAAGTTGTGATTGTTGCAAGGAACATTTTTTATCTAATAATTTTTTAATACTATTAGTTTATGATACATAATATATTATTTTTTCTGCCATAATAACTAACTTTTTCTGTACCCCTAAACAACCTATTGCGTACCCCTAGGGGTACGCGTACCACAGGTTGGGAATCGCTGTTCTAGATCAAGGCTTCTTAAACTTTTTTTATTCACAACCCCATTTATGATTGTCATTTTTTCGCGACCCCCCCAAAAAAATATAAAATAAAGATATATACAAATTTGCAAGAACAATAATGGTGTACTACCACAGTTCACTCTTATGTTACAATGGAACAGAGACAACTGAATACACTGAAAAGCGACAACAATACACTAGTTCACACTACAATCAGTGTTGTTGAATCATTGTCTCGCTGTCCCAGAAGTGACACAAAGCGCAACTCACGAAACCTATGACACAAAGCATGCCATTTTCAAACTCACAAATTATTTTCAATATTTTGCATTAAAATCTCGCGACCCCAAGATTTCGCTAAGCGACCCCAAATGGGGTCTCGGCCCATAGTTTAAGAAGCCCCGTTCTAGTTAAATAGCTGGATATCAGCAAAACTGACACCACATAAACTTTTTTATTTACACAGTTGAACACTTATCTAGCATAAAATTAATTTAAAATGAATATAATGATTTTATATATTTGTAATAGATTATGTATACTTATTAAAATAATAACAATAATAATTTTTTTGGAGTCATTAATATATAAAATTAAAAAACGCTCTTAAAAATGAAAGGCCAGTCAACTTTTTAATTTCTGAATTTAGATAGAATTATATTTTTAATAACTGTTCATACGAAACATCGTCAACATTACGTAAAAATAAAAATAAATAAATAAATAAAAGAATAAATGAATTTGTTATTGCCAAGACTTGCTGTCCAGGTGTGAAGCATATGCGCTTCGTATCGCATTTGTTGTCCTTCGAATGCATTTGCGTTTATGTATAAAAATATATAAAAAATTCTAATTTAAATAAGTCAAATATTCTTATTCTTCTCTTAAAATAAATATTTAACATTGGAAGTACATTTTAATATGTTCTTGGCATTGTTAGGCGATCAACAATTGCATACCTATACATTCCCACTGATGTCCGTTTGTCTGTCATTTCTTAATCTCGAGAACGGAGTTAGTTAAATGAACGTAGAGACCAGAAACTTAATCGGGGTCTCCTGCCTCTAAGCTAGGCTTAGGGGCAGGAGACCCCAATTAAATACGAAACCCCGATTAATACGAAACCCGATTAAATACGAAACCAGGAGACTCCGATTAAGTTTCGTTATTTTAATTCAAAAATTTTATCCTGGACGAAGTTAGACAGATTACCAGCAAGACTCTAATGCTAATAGAAAAAGTACGATGTACAGGAACAAGATACTACTAAAATTAATAGCATTGTGACGAAAAATTTCAGCCCGGAAAGTGACGATGTCACAATAAACAATATCTCGTTAAAATATAAAATTTAATTTAATTTATGTAAAATTTTAAAGTAGACTTCTACAATAATACTTTCTACAATGTTTTTGCTATGCTTTAGGTCAGTGATTCTCAACCACTGTGCCGCGGAACTTTAGTGTGCCGCAAGATTTTTGAAGTGTGCCGTCACTGCGTACATAAGCGACGTGAGACAAGTACAGTACAATAGTTTAATCGGTTCTACCTTCCTAGGTTTGGAAGATTTGGAAATTGTAACCGGTGTTACCGGAAACTGTCGGTAGTTACTAAGACGTTAAGAAAATGTGATCTAAATAACCAACTGCGTTTAAAAATCACTGTTATGTCGTCACCGGTTGTCCTACGGTACTTACCGAAGTAACCGTGTGTGCCACCAAATTTTTAAATTATTAAAACTGTACCCTGACGAAAAAAGGCTGAGAGTCACTGCTTTAGGTATTAAAAACAATCTTAAGTGAAAATGTATAAAAATACAAGTAATCCTCGATTTTTATGCGGTTTCGTGGGTCTGTTCTGAGGAATTGCCAGCTTGACAGAGTTCAGAACTATCGACGCTAAACCCACAGACTACGTGTAAACCGATCCTTCTCCCATTCCTGGTCACCATTAGTTACGTGAAACTTAATTTTGCTCTTATTCGGATAGTTTAATTTCTATTTCGTATATTGTAATTTCTGCAAACATTTGTTTTAATTCTTTAGCTTTTACGGAAAACTGTAAACTCTAAGAAAAAAAAACAACGCAACAATTGTGCAATTCACGCTTGATAAATATTTTTCTTGGTTTTAAAATATTTTACTTCGTGTTTTTCTTATTTGAGTTACTTTAATGGTTAATTTATACTCTCTATAATCAATGTTTATACGCTTTTTATTAACTTACTCTGTTGAGCAGTCTGTCTAGATAAAGTAACTCAATTTTAACTCACAACCCAATTTCCGATCTAGTTAAAACTTTGCATGCATATGTGTTCTCGATGATAATACAGTTTTTTAGAGTTTGCAAACAATTTTAGCAATGTTAGCGAAAAAGTTCGATGACAGATGGCGCTACATATTGCCCTCTTTTAGTCGTACTGTCTAGATAAAATCTTGTAACTCGATTTTTCACCCACTTTCCAATTAAATGCTAGAACAAAAAAGAATTTCGATAATCCAGTGTTACATGTATAAAACTAAAAGGTTGAAAATAAAAAAATATATTAAAAAAATTTTAAAGAAACGCTTTTATTCACATAAATGCACTAAAAAGTAAAAAATACATTTTCTTCAGTTTTACAGTATTCCT